GTGCCCAAATTTGCACGCTAGAGACCTTTAGTAGTGTGCCCGTGCACAAGTCAGTTGGGGTACCCCCTCGCAATTTCGCACGTGCAAGGCCCACCCTCTCGCTCGCTCCGTTAGTCGCCCCAAAAGGCGTTATACTGGTCAATATAACGGAAAAATCTCAGTATGAGCGGCCCGGCCCGGCCCGGCCCGGCCTGTAACGCTTTTGAGAGGCTTATATCTCAGCAACCACTGGACCGATTGGCCTGCGGTCTTTTTTGTTGGGTAGCCCCATCCCTTCTACCCCGTAATTGACTACTTTTGATACATCTCAGTGACCGTCGTGGCACGTGCCACGTGAAAAGTCAAGGGTGTTCAAGCTGTTTTGCAAAAGTAGTGATTTTGATAGGCTCATATCTCAGCAGCCGCTTGGGCGATTGACTTGCGGTAATTTTAGTAGGGTAGCAGCATCCCTTCTACCCAAAATAGGATACTCTCGATGCATGTGGGTCACCCCCAGTGCACGTGCAAAATACAACAATAAGAGGTGCCAAATTTGTTCCCATTTCTGTAACTCGGTAATTACTGGGGCGATTTCGCTGAAACTTGGCATACAGGTAGGCACCCACCAGGCAATGCATACCCATGTGTTGCGGTTAGGGTGCTACTGCACGTGCGCACGTGCAGGGGGCGTTTCCAGATCTCGAGAACGGCTGGGCCGATTGCGCTCAAATTTGGTACACGGTTGGGGACCAGTTATTAGGGTGCCGTGCAAAAGTCATTTTGGACCCAGTTTGCACGTGCGCACGTGCAGAATGCCGCTTCCAGATCTCAGGAACGGCTGGGCCGATTGCGTTCAAATTTGGCACACCGCTAGCGACCAGTTAGAAGGGTGCTTTGCGCAAGCCCGTTGGAAGCACCCTCTCGCCCTTCCGCACGTGCATGGCTCACTATCTCGCTCGCTCGTTCTTCGCCCAAAAGGCGTTTTACTGGTGTATATAGCCACTCGTGTTTACAGTCGGGTACACGTGCCACCCCCTCGGTGTCTGTGCGCCGACAGTCTGTGTGTATGTGTGTATGTGGGGGGGAGGGTAGTGTTTATGTGTTGGGGGTTTGGTGTTAAATAAATATTATGCAATGTTATAGAATAATTATAGTTATTTTTCAATAATATTGAAGGTAACAGGTTACGCAAGGGTCGATTCCGCGCCAAGCAACTCTGACGGTTGTGAATACAGCGGCAATGAGTAATGACAGATGACTGCTGGTAACGCATGGAAACGGTTACAGACCGATGGCAGGCAGAGACGATTGGTGACCGTTTCTTTGACTGCATGTTGCCCATACTAACGGACAAGGCGAGGTGTTGACGTGGTTATTCGTTGACCTGTACTGGAGCCGAGTGTCGAGCATGGTGAGCGGGTTCAGTGGGCGGCGATCGGCCCGTAAATAAACTCCACCGGCCGTGACAGGCCTGGTAACCCGCTCAGCCGCTCGCTGCCATCATTATTTACATGTTACGTCACCAGGGAAAAGAGCGCCCTCAGCAGCGCGGCTGTGACCCAGGAACAGTGCCCTGGGGGCGCGGGGCGGGTCCGTTCGGCACTATCGGAGCTCCGCAGGCACCGGGGCCCGCTCTCTGGGGATGGGGACAGCTCTCCCCTGTTCAGCTATCGGTAAGCACAGCTCGCGAGACTGCGAGGTAGTGGGAATTTCAGCAGCAGGCTCGGAGCGTATGACCGTCTTGATCAGGCGGCTGCAACAGCTCGTACCGGGAACTTCATAGTTGGATAAATTCCAGGAGGCCAATCTTGGAGAGTTTCGAGCTAGCAATTAGTGAAAGTTCAGCAAAGCACTACCGGGTGGGTTTATGCTCGGGAGTCGGCGTCTGATACAGACATTTGAGACTGATATCGGATCGTTGACTGCAGACTGACGCTCGTCGTGGTGCGTCTGTTATCCAAATTAAGTTAGCCGACCGTTGCGCTCAATGTTTGGCATGTATTTGTATAGTTGAGGCCAAAGACACAGCGGAGAAGGGGACGAAATAACGGTGTGACCGCACTGTCGTCCCCACCCTCTTCTTAGCCGGCCACTTCGACGCCGTTCAACGGTCCTTAGTTCGGCGCAGCACCCCCTCCCCGGAGAATGTGTGGTTACATGAGCCACTCAATCCTTAGGAATAATCCAACCGAGGACACATACATCACATGACTAGCACGCGCAAAAAAAACTTGGAGGGAAAACAGACATCAAGCATAAACCGTAAAACAATAATAAAAATATTGGGTGAAGAAAATATAACTAAAAAATAACACTCATCATCCTGATTACAAAAAAAAAAAATCACGATGACATGAAAAATGCTTGCGTTACGTTCGTCATTTGAGCATGCATGTAGTGCAATGCAGATCATCATTTCATATTCATCAGCCGCAACGAGATCTACGCTACACGGAAAAAATCTTCGGAAACATGCATCTACATCAGATGCATGGCAGAATTTAGTCGAGCACTATCCGCTATTACCTAAAGGCTATCATTCAAAACTTGCGGGCAACACAGCTTCAGCACCCGCGACTCGCAGCAAAACTGCGAATGGAACCATAGAGATCTTGGGACCACCAGGACAGGTAAGGTCCGATCAGGTCAGCACTTTTCCGTCACCGATGACGTCAATTGTGCTATCACCAGTCAGTATCGACATCCATGAATAAATCACCAGTCCAAACGACTGCGGCACGTTATACCCCGCGGCTCAAACAGACAAGCTGAATTCACAGAAATGGCTGTCCGTGCCTCGCGCCATAATGAGCCTACTGGAATGGGCATTGAAAACGCTGATTGCCATTTGCTTGGATAGAAGGTGAAACTATTTCTTAAAGTCATTTCCGACCACACAATTCATAAATTGAAGCTAATTCACGCCATTCTGGATCCAACTTACCACATAGGGCGCCAGATGAAATGAACGAGGATAAACCTACCCTAAACGACCGCCCCTTGATGTTCTGACGATGACAGGAGTGTGCAGTGTGCATATTGTGTGGCAGACGTACGAAACACTTACCTCAGCCGAGGCCGGCAGCGCCGACTGATCCGTAGTCGCATCCAGTGTCCGCAAGTGGTCTGTTGTAGTCGCATCCCGTGTCCGCGGCGGCCTCACGGGTGTCTCGGAGACCCGGCTCGCCTCACCGCCTGTTGACGGCTCGGACATGCCAGTCGGTGTAGGCGATGTCTCAGTGTTCTGGGCTGCATCGGCGGGCTGGGACAGTTTAGGAGCCGCGTCTGCCTCTCCAGTGATAGACTCCGTGGGTTTCACATCCGCCGGAGACGGTCTCAGACGCTTTTTGAGCTTCTTCACGATCGTTGTGCCCAGCCGTTTGAACTTTTTCAGCTGGACCGCCTTCGGGGTGGTTTTCAGCGGCACTACTGTGGTGGTCGTCTCCACCGGCACGGCAGACTCAGTTCTGTGAGCGGTTACCGCTAGGTAGAGTGTTTTGTCAGCAGTATCCGTCTGTGCATTCTTCGACTCTGGCTGTGTTGCCTTCTCTGGCTGGGTTCCCTCTGATTCCATATCCTTTCCGGCAGGTCTAGCCTCCTCTACGGTTCCTTCAGTAGTTTCAGCTGGTTTTCTCGTTTCGACCGTGATTGGCAGCACTTCTGTCTGAACTACACTGACATTGGGTGAGACTTCCTCCAACTGAGCTCGTAGACGCTCCACTTCCTGTAGGAGGATAAGTAGATCACGTCAGTCATCGAGGAAAATACGAACCCAGCGCTTTAGAAGACTACAATTGGGCTTCGGCTTCGACAGCTTAACCCGCGCCCTGGTGGGGTCTGTTTATAACGCGACCTGGTGGGGGGGGGCTATTTTTTGCCCCCCCCCCCCTCGTATCTCCGAAACTACTGGACGGATCCGCAAAATTCAAACGGCGTTCGAAAGGCCTGTCAAATTTGTCGAAGGAAACCAAATTTCATTGACCTCGGGGTCACCGATGACGTCACAGGTCAGGTCAAAGATGAAATGTTTCACCGTTCACGGGTCTTCTAGGGAATGCAATATAACACCGAGGAAAACGCATTTTGTCGAGAATCAGCGGTAGGGCGTCAGTTGCCTAGTAGATATGTTGCTATTAGAGGTCACTGGCAATACCAGGTCAGGTCACAGGTCAGGTCACCAAGGGTCACAGGTCAGGTCACATGAGCCCAAGTTTACTAAGGTTGTGTGATACATGTTTTATGGCCAATTTTTCATTTCCAACTCAATGGTGTTGGTTATACGACTATCAGGTACGGCTTAGGTCACTTTCTGGTGAAGTTCAGGTCAAGGTCAGGTCAAGGTCAGGCCAAAAAAGGTCAAATTTCAAGGTTGATAGTTTTGCATAAAATGGGTATTGATTCGATGCAGCTCGTCACGGGGAGTCTAATGGTGGTCTTTGTTTTGCGCTACGGGGTCTAAAATTGCTAAAAATTGAGTTTGAAAATTTGACGTCATCAATTTTGAACAGTTTTTTCGCTATAACTTCGCCAAAAAAAGAGGTATCAATCTCAAATTTGGTATGTGGATGGAAGGCGGTAAGGACTATCACATATATTCCGGTTTTTGCGAAATTCAAAAAACTTTTTGGATTTTTCGATTCTTATATCCAAAAAATCTATTTTTTGATTTTTGGGGGTCCAAATCCAAAAATTTCAAAAATCCGAGATAACAGTTTTGTAGCCCTGTTCAATCTACAGCTTTTATGTCTTTATCATTTTTCTGTATTTGCAAAGCTATGGGCCTGACAGCTCTTCCCGCGAAACCCTTTTTTGGGTCGAAAACGGCAGAACATGACGTCACTCTGACGTCATTTCCGGCCAACCTATCATAGCCTTTGGAAAAATTTTTGGTCACAATGTGTAAAATTGATGTCCGGGAGGGTACTGAAAGTTTGGTGACGATCGGCGCAGCGGTTCTGGAGATATATCGAAAAGTCTGGAGGGGGGGCAAAAAATAGCCCCCCCCCCCACCAGGGCGCGGGTTAATAACTATGGTCTGCCCAGAAACCGTCACGCTCATCAAAATGCGTGGGCCGTGGCTTTTCAGAACAGCGTCCTCAGTTTGCTGATGGTCCAAAACTGACAGTAAGAGCAGTGAAGCAAATAAGCGTATGACCTTCCGCACTGGTAACCCGCTTAGAGCCTGACCTGCCTGTACCGGTGACCCACCCGAGAGTCTGGCCTGTCTGTGGCGGTGACCCGCCCAAGAGTCTGACCTGCCTGTGCCGGTCCAGCTGGGCGAGGCTCTCCGTCAGCCGGCTGCAGCGCTCCTCAGCCGCCACGTGTAGCTGGCTCAGCAGCTGCTGCAGCTCCGCGCGCCGCGACGTCAGCGTCAGCGCGCCCGACAGCTGCTCCGAGCCGAACAGCAGCTGAGGGAGGGGAGAGGGGTTAGATGGGGGACGGATAGAGGTCAGCTGGGTCAGCTAGCGACGGATAGAGGTTAGATGGATACGGACAGAAGTTAGCTGAGGACGGACAGAGGTCAGCTGGGGAAGGGCAGAGATCAGCTGGGGAAGGACAATGGTCAGCTGGGGAAGGACAGAGGTCAGCTGGGGACGGGGAGAGGTCAGCTGGGGAAGGACAGAGGTCAGCTGGGGATGGACAGAGGTCAGGTAATAAAGGACACGGAGGTTATCTGGGCGGCGAGGCGAAATGTCAGCGGAGGCTGGCTAAGAGGTTCAGTTCAATTTAGCTGATGCTAACTGAAGTCTGTGTGGAAGTCAGCTGGGAAGTCAACTGTGAGGTCAGTGTGTGTGTCAGCTGTATGAACAGACAGTAGCAGGCAGCTGGAATTGGACACACATGGTGGAAATGATTGAATAAATATACAAGCGAGTGGTAACATACCAAACGCGTTTAGACATAACCGAGACTCACGCAGAAGCCGCGTGCTGTCAAATGTCACACTCACCCTTACAGTCGCGACTCGAGTGACTGCTTTCTAAACCTTCAACATCCCGCGTGTACGCTGGGCGACACTTTGTTTAAAGCTTATCACAATGAAAACCATAATTAATGTGTTCATTGCTCAATGTCAAACATTGACAATTTCCTGTAAAATATCAGGAGTCCTAGACTCGTATTCGACATTCGTTCGAAATTAGCTCGCAGAATTCGATGTTTGAACGTCTACAGGAGGTGACACCAGTCAGATTTTAAAAGTTGTTTAAGAAGTCCTAATCATCCTTGCCGCATTTTCCCTGTTTCGATCTAACTATGTCTCCGGCTCTCCTCGTCATCCCCCTGCCACTTTATCCCCACCTTTCCTTCCTTCGCTCCACGGCCTCTCCTTTCTTTACCACCCCCTTTCTCCTCATTTCGTCCACCATGACACGCTCAATCTTCCCCTCTCCCCTCAATTACCATGAGCCGCTCAGCCTCCCTGGCGACCTCTGTCTCCCTGCTCGCGATCTCTGCCGACAGCGGCTGTACCGCAGCCAGCTGGAGGCGCAGGGGGCCGGCCAGTGCCGCCGGGGAGCCCAACTCCGTCTCCGCGGCTGAACACCACACCTCGACGTCGGAGAGCAGCAGCTCGCAGCGCCGCCACAGCTCCAGCGTCTCCTGCAGCACCAGCACCTGATGAAAGAGAGGGAGCATTTAGTAGCAGCTCACAGCACTACGCGGGTTTGCTACAACATCAGCACCTGAGAGAGGAGGGGAGGAGGGGTTGAGAGGCTGTTCCTGACTGATGAGCAAGCGAATCATGGCAAAGGGGTACAGAGAGAGGTCGATGGGGGTGCGGGAATCATGGCAGCTGGAAAGGATGATGAATAAATGATAGCGGTGAAAATCCCCCTCTCACCCGTCCCTCCTTCTCACCCGGCTTCTTCCCACCTCCCGTCCCCTCCCTCCTCATCCATCATGAAGATGAAGATGAAGATGAATATCTTCATCCCAGTCTTTCACCCGTCTCCCTCCCTCTCACCGCCAGCCTCACTCTCACCCAGCTCCTTCCTCTCTCGCCCACTCCCCTTTCTCAGAGAAAGGGGAGTGGGGAGTAAGAGTCTTACCCGTCTCCTGAGTGCCGTCTCCGTGTCTGTCTTCCTCTGCTGGCAGTCCCGCAGTAGCTGTTCGGCGGACGGCCCGGCCTCGCGCGGTGGCAGGCTCGGCTGGAGAGCAGTCATCTCTGAGAGGTGCTGGGCTATCTCGGCACACTGGCTCACACCGGCCTGAGGAGAGGAGGGAGGGTCAGGCAGAGCACCGGGTAAGGTCACAGAGGTCAAACATAGGTCAGAACGGTGACAAGGAGCTTCATCGCATCATTGGAAAGTATGTGTACAGACACATCGAATTAATGTGTTTCGCAATGGAAAATTAGACTGATTCGCATGACAGTTCCCCGTCAGATATCTACATAAAGGAGTCAGAATTATCATCCTCCCAACATAACTGCAAAGGTCCGGCGCCTGTGCTGCCCCCTACATCTGGTTAGGTGTCTGTTCTCTGTTTCTTACTTTCCTGACCCTGGTGTCTGTAGGGACCCTACATAGCTGGTCTGACACAACATACCCTACGGCACCCAGATGTCTACCACCAACATATGACCTGGTGCCTGCCCCTTATTATCTGATTTAGTGTCTGTCCTTCATATCTGACCTGGTACTTACCTGCCCCATCCATATCTCGCGTGCCTGTTCCCCACATCTGACCTGGTGCCGGGCAAGAAGATCATTCAGCTCGTCCAGTGAGTTGATCACTCTCGGCTGCTGGACCAGTGGCTCGTGCTGCTGCAGCCACTGCTGTACTCTCTGCTGGAGCGCGGAGAACCGGGCCCAGCCGTCGGCAGGCTCGGCTAGTCCCTCAGTCTCGGACGGCGGCGACTGGACGGGCTGTGGGGAAGGAGGCCGCCGTTAGGGTGACGATCAGAGCAGCTTATAGCGGACACTCTGGTAACTGGGTGAGTGGGTCTTCCTTAAGTGAGTTCAGATGACTGTGGTGTTGATGGCGCTGGAGAAGGGATGGTTAACACAGAAGCAAGGCTGAACTGGGTGCTGCAGTTTAAGCTAGACGACTTAGGTGACAGGGACGGAGGGTCGTTATCTTTATGGACACTGAGCAGGCCACCAGCACCAGCACCAGCATGTCGCAGTTATAGGCCTGTGTTTGGGCATTATTTATTAGAGCGTTAGCAAAGTAGTCCAGTAGGTACTGATTACTGGTGCCATAGGTAGCACAAATTTAAGCATGGAAAATCGGAAAAAATCAATGAGAGGTCACATTCATCGTCGTTACATGATTTGACTAACAGACTTGGGCAATTTATAGTAGTTTTCTTCCTCGCCTTAAAGACAAGGAAACTAGAAAAAGTCACGCTCTGAAGGACATGAAAATCCCTTTCACCCGGCGAGATAAGCCCTCGTCAAGGAGGGCAAAGAGGTCAAAACTTGTTCCCGCACCGGGAATCGAACCCGGGCCTCACGGGTGAGAGCCGTGTATCCTAGCCACTAGACCATGCGGGACTTGAAGGAACTGACGGGAGCTAAAGCTGAAACATCAGTGTTGGCATGAATGCCGGACTCTTGATGACGTCACAAAGCTTCTTGGCTGCCCGTGCAGCGGTGTGCTAAATTTAACCCAAATGCTGCTCGCTAGTACTCGAACTGTAATTCATTGGAACAAAAATGGTCACAGATAAGCAACGAACACAAATCACTGTACTAGTCGCTGGATCACCCAGCAAGGCCTCGTCTAACCGGCTAACTGGGGAGGCCAAACCCCCGCAGTCATCGGCCTGCCCCCCCCCCCTCCCCCCCCAGTCAGGGCAAAAAGTCACTACTGGGGGGGCCGGCAATAGCCAAAAGGCAAACGAATTTTTAGGTCGAGGCGTCAGTGCACATAAAAGCAAATGTGTAAACGAAACATGGATGCAATGTGAGCACATTGATACCTAGCCGATTATAGGCCTGTTATCAAGTGTTTATTTTGTTTACCTGACCTTAACCATTTTTTTTCGCTCAGCAATACGTTACATTTCGTCTTTTCAGGCGCCCAACTCCGTGTCTCGGATATTCTTTTTTATAAATTTAGTCCGAACCTTTTGAATGGAAGGATTCACAAGGACAGAGCCCCCGCTAAGCAGATCTTGTTGCGTTGGCCCTGCCCTCTACCCTCCGATCGCGCAATTCCTGATCTATGGCAGAATTTAGAGCCCAAAGTTTTACGTATGCACATAGCCGCGCACGGCCGGTCCCCTCACTGACTTCGACTGGTTACGGCCTGCCACCAACTGCAAACATACTCGCCAGGAGGCTCATAAACATCAAGCGACTCTGTCGCGCTTCGAACCCGGACTGTTATAACCGGGACGCATGCCCTCACCACGCGGTGTCCAACGCTCTACCGACAAAAAAAAATCTCCTTTACGTATCAATCTGTTGTTTCTGTCCTCGGGGCGTCAATCTCTTGTTTTTGCCTATCGTCGTCCTCACTATGCGGCGTCCAGCTTCTGGCTGGACGGTCACCGGTGTGCGGCTAGAGTAGCTCCTAGTCGTAATGAAGCAGGATCCCGTGGTGGTCGTACGTAGGCGCAGATTGGTGGTCTGTCGCTGGATTATCTAAAGAAGTCGGCGTGGAGTCCCGGTGGGCAAATGCCAGCCAAATACCAGCCTGTAGGGTCCCAACGGGCCTCAAATTGCACTACTACACGGGGAAATCTTCATTTTTTGTTTAATTTATAGCCTCTGACAACCTTAAGGTTGTGTCGGAGATCCACCGCGATTACGACTTACGGAGAATCCACCTGAGAAGCCATCAGTCTCCAAGTTGATACGTACGCATTACACTCGTCTGAGGGGGCCCTAGTGGGAAAATACTGTCTCCACTCAGCTTGATCTCCACTCAGCCAGTGTGGGCTACCATAGAGGCCGGCGTGGGTCCAGAAGCTGGTGTTAGCCCTCAGAACTCGGCAGAGCTCAGAGTCAAGCGCTCAGTCTATGCGTGTGGGCCCCCGACATAAGGCTCGGCATGTAAATTCCTTAGACAAGGCACTGCCACTCAAAAACGCTCAACACCATGGGTCGGATGCCCTACTATTTTTTCCTTTAGTTAAAAAAAAATCATGGTGTCAGGGCTGTGATGAAAAACAAGTGGTCTAAATCCGGTGAGAAAACAGGATTTGGGGGTACCCTAGGTTTGGCTCCTTCAGGCTCTGGCCCCCCCCCCCCAGTGAAAATTCCTTAGACGAGGCCCTGTCACCCAGTAGTCAAAGCCCACTCGTAAATTCTGTTACAACAGTAGGTATCCACTCGCCTTCTGGTACGCCTCTGAACAGGCACGTATCTCCCTGCCAGATGAATTCACTCACAGATCCGCTGGCGTTCGTGTACCGTGCCCGGCTCACCTCTGTCTCTGTAGTTAGGACGGGCGTCGCACTCTCTAGGACAGCGGCTGGACGACCCGCGTCCACTGTGCTGTTGTCTTCGGGTGCAGGAGCCGCTAGGTTCACTGCGCTGCTGTGCTCAGGTGCAGGGACCACCTCCGCTACGGCAGGGGCTGACGGAGTCGGATAGGTGGATTTCGCCAGCGCCTGAGCAAGTGGTGACGGGAGGAGAAACAGTCAATCAAGATAACTTAGTATTTTGTGCGCCAAGGTTTTCACCGACGAGCAGCTCAGGCGTCAGTCAGTGTATCAACCCAGTCATCATTTCGAGCAAAAGTGAGTCGTTTCCACAGTTGTATCTAATCCGGAGGAAAAATAACAAAGTCATGACCCCAGTTCGGAAGCTGTGACATAACGATATCCCACGAACCATACCAAGACACCCGCTATCTATCGCTGACCGCTGTTGACCCCGCTGCCCGAACTGACCTCCCCGCTGCCCCGCTGCCCTGACTGACCTCCGCTCCCCCCGCTGCTCCGACTGACCCTCGCTGCCCCGACTGACTTCCCTGCTGCCCCGAAGACTGACCCCTGCTGCCCTGGCTGACCTCCCTGCTGCCCCGACTGACAGGGGCTCCCTGCTGCCCCGCTGCCGCGACTGACCTCTCTGTTGCGCTGCTGTCGGACCTCTGCCACCTGTTTGAGCCCGGTGACACGCTCCTGCAGACCCTCCAGCTGACTGATGATGCCGTCCAAGTCCGTCATCAAGTCCGTGGACTGGGTGCCCTCCTCACCCTCCTGAGGCCGGGCCACCGGAGCCAGCACCGCCTCTGGTACGGCCACCTGTGGACATCCAGCAGCCGTGAGTATAGACAGACATCGACGCTGGTGCAAAACCAGACGAGTCATTAGCGCATAATTTTCATTGAGGGTGTGTCCTCTGGTTAGGTTAAATCAATGTGAACTAAAGTGAAAAGGTGCAAACATACGGAGACTAAGTGGTCGGGCATGGTTATATTATGGGGACCAGCTACTACATCTTTGAGCCAAGATGGTGAAAGCATTGTGGGGAATAGATGTCGCCGGGCGCCGTCGGACCGTGTCAAATGATGACACACTGTGTCACTTGGTGACACAGTGTGTCCCATTACGTCACGCTTTGTGAGATGACAGCGGGTGGCAGCAGCTGTAACAGATTGTCTCGACGTGGAGCCTGATGACAAACCTGTGAGAACGTCAGTCATGGTTTCTCTGTACTGCAAGCTTGATTGCGGCCCTGTGAGAACGACTGAGGAGCGCTGCACAACTTGGTGAGACGGCAAATGATTTAGATCTCGCCTACGGTACGTTACATAAAAAAAAACGTCAAGGAACGCACCGTTGCTGAACGAAGCGTCCGGCCGTAAAACGTCGGCCAGTGTTCGTATCACTCAGACAGCACTACAGAACAGCTGTCAAACTGGTGGGGCAAACACACGCCTTACCCCGCCCCCCCCCCCCCCAAGCACGCGTTTCCCCGTTGACCTGCATGTCGCCAGGTATTGTTCGCATTTCGACAGTGAATGCAGTGCTGACCGGTTCGCGTGCGCAGATGCTAAGACAGGCGTGACTCCGGGTCACATAGGTACCGCACGGGTTTCCATTGTCCCCGGTGCGTACATTGCAGCACTGTACAATGTCGATCGACAGATATCGCTACCATTCGCGAGTTTTTGTGGTGTCTGCTGTACACGGGTGTTCGATCTGCCGCTCTAATGGATCGGCACTAATCCGTCACAGATTTGGGGAGATACGCCGATCGGCAAACACGGAGATATTGAACAGATGTGTGCCTGCGGGCTTGGCTGGGCAAATACAGTAATGGAACACAGGAAACTCGGGCACAACTTTGGGAACTGCTTACCGTGGAGATGGTCTTGCCAGCAAAAGTTACTTACGTTGTCGAGAGTTGGTGTTACGTCTCCCCGATTTGTAACCATACAGGGTGTCCGGATAGTTCTGGCGCTTTTCAACATTTTCTAAAACAAATGCCATTGGTTCATAGATACTAATCAATGGATCAAAACAATGACCAGGGACACCAAGCCACATGCTTCCGCTACGTGCTCATTCAATGAAACCATCGTCGGCGCCGACGACGGCCTCGACGTAGGGGAGGAAGCGTCTGCGGGTTTTGACGATGCGGGGCATTTCCAGGTCCTCCCATGCTGTCATGATGCGAGTCTTCAGCGACTCCAGGTTGGGGTGAGAAATGGCCTAGATCCTGTTCTACAAAACGCGTAGCACGCCTTAGTCGAGCGGGTCAGGTTAGGAGAATAAGGCGGCCTGATCTCATTTCGCCACGGTGATCTGGCCCGGCAAGCTCCTCTGTCAGTTTAGCTTGAATGGCAGCGGCGTTGTTGGAGGGTGCTCTGTGCTGTTGAAATGCGAAGTGACCCTTAGGGCATGTCGTCTTGACCCTCGGGTTGATGTGGCTGTCCAGGAACCCCTCGTGGGCCAGCCTGTTATTCATTTATTCGACATTGACGAAGATGATGGGACATTTTTGTCCATCAGACCCCCGCACTTTCTTCGATTGCCGCGCTGAAATGCTGCTCCGTTCCCATATCGCGTTCGAAACGGTCTGAGAATATTTTCTAAGGAATTCCCGAGTCGAAATAAACCTTTACCTGCTAAACCATTCATCGAAAAACGCCGCATCGCGCTGCAACTCGAGCCTCGTTCAAGTCGCACCCGGCCGCCGCGCGCAGGCATTCAGCGACAAGGCGCATCTTCGCCCATCTACCCATCACTGAAAACGATTTCAAGGTCATATTTACACGACCTCTGGCTGAGCAATCAACGAGGGGTCATGTCTGTGATGATTGGCTGAATGTCCAATAATCACAGCGCGCGTTACACGGCGTCCAAAAGAAGCGCCAGGACTTTCCGGACACCCTGTATACAATTATTCGTAAGCTGGTTGTACGAGATGTCTAGCTAGTGCTATCAGCGTTTTCGGCATTTCACAACATCTCTGGACTCTGGGCCTGGCGGTCTGAGAACAAATTCGGTCCTCTGGCTTCAGGCCTGGATGGATGGTTCACCATTTACCCAGAAGATGGCAGCGTGGTCGCCTCACGGTGCCGACTGCCAGCAGTTTGCACTACCTAACAAATGAGCCGTCTCCGCGCATCCCTGCACAGTGCCAGGTGTTGTGGTGCCCCCCCCCCCCCCCACCCCCACCCCCTGTCTCGTGACAGGACCCTCTCCGCTCTCAGTAATGAATGGAGACTGTTTTTGCGCGCAGTCTCTGTGAGTGCCTGTGTACTGGGGACGACCCTCGGGCCCTCGGCTGCAAACACATCAATAACGTCTGCAACGGACAGAGTCGCAATGGTGTGCGACTCTGAGGAACCCCTGGATAGGAGCGGGTAACAGCTCTGCATGTCAGCTCTAGCAGCAGGAATGCGGAATTCATTCCGGATAATGGCCAGACATCCGTACCGGCCCCACTCTCCGCCCGTTCTACTCCATTCCACCACCCCCACGCCATTTACACCAGTTCAGTGCGACTCCCACACCTACCTGCTGCTCCTCTGCCTCTGGGTTGGTCATCGCCGGCGTCATTTTCTTCACGTCCACCAACATCTGGCGGCGACAAAATGGGTGCGACTTAGTTGGATAACCCGCCAAGGTCCTTACGTCGATGAAAATATGGTTCTCAGAGCAGGCTATGTCGATTGACATACTGTTTTTTCTTTTTGCTGAGACCACACACATTGCTTCAAGCACGACAAAATTAACTTCACATATGGATATGACTTATGAGTAAAGCGCTAATAAAGCACGGCACCTGTCAAAGCGACATCAAACTATCATTACCCACGCCCCGCTGATGCGCTGCGCGTCTGCTCACCTCCTCCAGTATGTATGTCAGCGACTGGACCTCTGCCGACAGCGGCTGCCACTTGGCCGTGACCTTGTCAACGAACTGGGTGGCTGCCGCCTTCTCCTCCGTGGCTGGAAATGTGGGATCAGCGTCACAGAACGAAGATTACTGTAAGTAGCTACAGTACACAGTACCTTCACCCTGTCTACCTTCATTCCAACTACCACGTAGTAACTTTCCTTGGGATAAATTGCATTCATGCATGGCGCAATTCATACTTCATGTCCTTGTTCAACTGAACAACATTATCTTAAAGGGGTGCTAAAAGTTCGAGAATTACGAAGAGTTTGGTGCTTGGATTGATGAATCTGAATACATCAAGGTCAATGTTGATGTACTGAATGAGGTCTGCAAACTTTGGCACCGGTCCATAACAAGCATAATGCAGTCTGCATAGATAAAGCTGGCCCTGGACGTATCAGATTAATGGGTCTATTGTCTGACGTGCAACGGAAGCTTTATCACTGCAACTGAATCTGCGTCGCGCATACCTGTTCCGCTCGCAATGACATCACTGAGGTCTAGTGTTCCAGTTCATATTACAGCAATGACAGTAATAGGACATCCTAGCCCACCACTCTCTGAAACTGACTGATACCACCATCCGCACTGGATGGTATACTTATGTTTATGTACTTCTGCAAGTACGACCATTCCACAGACATCAGTCGGTCGGTTCGGCAAACTAAATCTCTCCAAGGAACACTTATCAGATCATCCTCAAACCTGTGACTGAGATTTGAGTCAATTTGACAATCGACCGACCGCGCCCAGTCCCTCACGACGCATGTCACCTCCCGGCTCTTGCCCTCCTCTACATCATCTCCTCTCTCCCCTCTACCTCCTCTCTCTCTCTCTCTCTCTCTCTCTCTCTCTCTCTCTCTCTCTCTCTCTCTCTCTCTCTCTCCTCTCTCTCTCTCTCTCTCTGTCTCTCTCTCTCTCTCTCTCTCTCTCTCTCTCTCTCTCTCTCTCTCTCTCTCTCTCTCTCTCTCTCTCTCTCTCTCTCTGTCTCTCTCTGTCTCTCTCTCTCTCTCTCTCTCTCTCTCTCTCTCTCTCTCTCTCTCTCTCTCTCTCTCTCTCTCTCTCTCTCTCTCTCCCTCTCTCTCTCACTCACAAATGCCACCGTCGGTGACCAGTGTCTCAGTAGCCCGTCTCATGTCCAGCAGCGGCCGGTCAAAGTCCCTCAGTAGCCCGCCGTCGGCCACCAGCTCAGCTGCCTCCGCCGCCTGCTGGGGGTCGGGGACGCGCCGCGCCAGCCGTACCGCCCACACGCGGACCGTCTCCTCGACGATAGTGAGGTGGGTGATGACCCGGTACTGGAAGAGAGGTCATACAAACAGGCCACAGGGCGGGTCAGAGGGGCAGATCACAGGTCACAGGACCGTCTCCTCGACGACAGTGAGGTGAGTGGTGACCCGGTACGGAATAGGGGTCAGAGGGCAGGTCATACAGACTCACAGGGCGGGTCACAGGGTAGGTCACAGGGCAGGTCACACAGGGCGGGTCACTCGGGGTACGTCATACAAATATGTGGACGTGAGAAGATTGAGCAAGCTCGAAATGTTGGCGGTTGGGGAGTCGAGAAAAGGTTACAGAATACGAAGGTAATGGAGATTACTGTCAAACTTTGATGCCAAACTTCGACATTTACATCAGCGAGTAATGAGAACGGACGGGATAAACTTATAATGATACCACCTCGAGGCAGACAAGAGACCATCAAACTCCACAGCAATGGGAACACACCGACACTGAATCACAATTGCTATCAGAGAAGCAGAACAGTCACTGTCACAGAGCACAGTTCACCAGTTACGCCACTCCCTGACCGCCTCCCCAGTCCCGTCTGGTCACTGACGGGCCCCGACCTCCCCTGCAAGGCCTCCCCGAGGACCACTGGAGGCTGCACCAGCCCGTCGGTCCCCAGCCCACCCCAGTGAACGGGGAGCCACCGGACCCGGGCCGCGCTCCGACGTGTCACCCGCGCACCCTGTGTTTATTTGTGAGACCTTTAGCGACCGCCGAGTGTGGGTGGTCACTGGGCGAGAGACCGAGAGCGACTCATCAGTGAACTTGTTTGAAGTTTGTGTAAAAAAACACGATACTTTGATGAGCTCAGTGCTGACGTGGCATCATGCTGGCAGATTTCAGATGTGGGATGTTATTCGAAACATGATCGTAGGGCGAGTCTGCGCCGAGTTGAGATGCAGGTTATTTTCAATGGAACTCGGTCCGCGGCAGATCGCTGCACCTTCAACGCACAGTGAACTGCCAGTGTTTGTGCAGCGATATGAAAACAGCGGCCAATTGGCGGACAGGACCGACTATGTCACTCTGCCAGTGCTGACGGCCGAACGACACGGTGGTGGTAGGTGTTGCCAGATTATGTGCCAGATCACGTGAGGGAAGCTTAGCTAGCTGCCAATCACCGCGAGCAATGACATAGAGTAGCGATGAATGGAGCAACAATACTAATTTCACCAGCGTAACACTAAAAATAAACCAGACTTGAGGTTAGACAATGTTCACCTGACGAAAGTCTACATTCACAGTGAATTTTCCCTTGAGCTGCTTCCGTACTGCAAATGATGTCCGTTTTGCAAGACACGAGGGCTTGTGGCTCTATTCCTGACTTCGGCTCCAGGCCAGAGGGACTCATGTAGTGTATTTCCTACTGGTCTCATAAACCTAACTGTCCCAACTCCCACCCCACCCCTCTCCGATGCCCTCTCCGTCCCCCGGTCCTCACCCTGTGCACCACATAGTTGAGCCGGGCGGCGCGCTGGACGGCTCCAGTCCGGGCCGTCTGCAGCCTTCTATCCAGCAGCTGTAGCTGCCGCGGCGGCACGCGAGAGGCCACGGGAGCGGCACGTGCCGAGCGCAGGCGCCGCTCGACCGCCGGCAGGGCCGAGAAGAACGTCTGCCGTGGGTCAGACGGGTCACACGGGGTCAGACGGGGTCAGCAGGTCAGATCAACCGCGATCAGAGCGGGGGATAGAGGCGGGAGAGAAGACACGGCGAGTATGCACAGCAGAGGACAGGCTGGATGGAAGTGCAGAGAAGGATATCTCAGCGATCTCAGCTAAAAGGACAAGCAAGAACGGCTGTGCGGATAGGGAGGAATCTAGCTACACGGCATTCGCAAAGTTCATGAAGCCTAGCTACAGGTGCACAGAAGACAACACTGAAATTGACATGGCATGGCACAGTCTTTTAGTGTTAGTCGCAGAAGCAGCACGGGTGTTAGAACAGGCGGAGATAAGCACACAGTAATGCCACCACCGCCCGGGACCCTATAGGCCGACCGCTCGCCTTCCCCTGTCTCACTTACGGCGATATGCAGCTCCCAGAGTCTGTGAGTGGAAAATGGCCGACCGTGATGACAAGCTAGCCAGTGTGATGACATCTTCGTTGGCAATGTTCAGTTGTAAATAAAATTGGATGACTGGTGAAGTGAGGAGCAAGTTTCACGTAACCATCTAGGTAGTAGCCAAACGGATGTAGGAAATATCCGCCGAGTAAAAGTAAATTGTATGTATGTCTCAGATAGTACAGCTAATCCTTAATCGAAACGCAAAGCATTGCCTTTTGGTGTCGGTGGGGCGTCCATGGATACCGTGTGCTTGCCGCATAATAGTATTTCATAAGCTTAAAATGCTCTCCTAATGTGTTTGAAGGAAGTGGGTACCTATGCGCCGATGTTGAGTAAACTTGCTGGCGTGCTCGATTTTATTTGTAACAAATTAATCGGTCATTATGATCATTCTGCTTATTTATTGTTAGTTATCTATTGTTAGCGAGCAAGCACGGCATGAGAATTAGCATGCTGCTCCAGCTGAGATTAGACGCATTTCAGCCCTCCTTTTATGGGATCGTTTCATGCTTTTGTGCTTCCCCAGCTAAGTGATTTTCTTTTTGGGGCTAACCAATTATGTCGGACATATTAAGTTATAACCGTCACAATCTCACCTTGAATTTAATTGTAAATCAATCAGTAATTTTTGGCGAGGGAGTCCGTCTTACCATTGCTACTGTTACGCAAAAGGCAAGACCGCCGTCCACTGTGCGTCCACTGTGCGGACTTAGTTTCTATCTAGTTACTATGCGCAGGCATGCACATGAGCTTTGCTTTGTAATAGCATCATAAACCAAGCCTAAAAATCGACTATCAGTCTTTTTGCCACATACCTATAGCACGGATTTAGGCCTCAGTTCACCTCAGTTTAAGGTGCACTGTGCAGTGTGATCATAATACTTCAAATTCTAATTCTAGCTCTGTGCGATCCATGCATGTGCATTGCATGCTACATCCTCCGAGCCGCTACGCAAAATCTGACAAAGCATGCAAACCGATCAAAACAAAACAGAAAAACGCGTGCTTTTCACTGTTTATTGTCATCAGATTCAAAGGACGTTATATTATTTGACGATGCATGCAGCTTCCGTAGATCTTCTAGTAACTCACACCTTAGGATAAGACAGAAGCAAGGAACGGCAAAACTCCGATCCTGGTCAGCCTTGAACGCACAACCTTTGACATCTGATCACCCTTCGACGGCTTCCAACAAGCCTATCTCCCACTCAAATCTCATGAAAGAAAAAAGGCATCCAAAAATAATTCATAAGAAGCAACGTGCATTAAAATGCGTAAGATATAAAGCAAATAAACATGGAATAGAAAATTGCCGCTATCACCATGATAAGCAGATCTACCTGTCTAGACCCTCGGCTATAGTGTGTCGGCTGTGCGCGGTGCTGAGATTCGGCGTGTGTCGGTGTTCGGCGGGGGACGGGGGCGTTAGTTCTGCACGAGCAGCGGGGGCGGCGCGGTGGTGGCGGCGGCGGCGGCGGCGGCGGCGCGCGGCGGCCGCGGGCACTCCACCAGTACCGTGTGCTCCTCCAGGATGACGGTGACGGTCTGTGAGAGGCGTCGCGCCGGGGCCGTCACCGCCGGATCCTCGGCCTCTGCCAGTGTCGTCTCGGCCTTCTGTACCCACTCGGCCACGCCGAGCAGGGGCGGGGGTAGGCGAGAGTCCAGGTATGTCTGCCACTCCAGCAGCTGAAGGAGAGGAGAGTCGCGTCAGCATAGCGACACGTCACTACAGCGCCGCACAGCTGTGACACACACCGGGACACAGCGCCAAACAGTGTCGCACAGCGTCACAGTGTCACACAGCGTCATGGCATCACACAGCGTCACACAGCTGCGTCATACTCGACAAAACGGAGTCACACTTGATGAACACTGAACAGCATCAGGCTTCACTGACACAACGTCATAAACGCTCTACCGCTACCGGTGCGCGGAGTTTGTTTGAGAGGTGAGAGTCACATGAATAAGCAGAAAGTAAAAAAAAAGGATGGCAAGCCTATCCGATATCCATGACGAACTGAAAACACTGACAGGTCAATGTCTACAAACGCGAGCGCCGAACACTTCCCCAGATCCCATTATGGTAACTTTAAAATTTTGATATTTGTTCCAATTGATTATTTTCCTCATGTCCCCTCTCCATTCCGTTACCTACTAGTGTCCAGGCTACTCTAGCCTTCCTCCCATCCCTCCCGTCCTCACTAGTGTGTCCCGTGAGCTCCAGTCCCCCTACACTCTCCCTCCCGTCCCTCACCAGTGTGCCTAGTGTCCTCCAGTCCTCCCTCTCTCTCTCCTCCCGTCCCCACCTGTGTGTCCAGTGTGCTCCAGTCCTCTTCCCTCTCTCCTGCATTCTCACCAGTGTATCCAGTGTGCTCCAGTCCTCCTCGGCTCTCTCCCACGTCTCTGCCGGTACGTCTCCCGCCTCGGGTCGTAGCTCGTCGAACCGACGCCGGCGATCGGTCGCCTCCGTGCGCGTCGACTGGAACTTCTGTGGGACGGTACGGGGACGGGCGTCACCGGGCGAGCCCACTGCTCGAACAGTGGGGATAGCGAATCAACAGTCCACTGTAAAATACTGAGCCAGCTCGTTATAAAACGCTTAAGTATATATTTCAGCGTAAGAAACCGTCGTTCTAGGAAGCATTAACCCACGAGCCGCTGGGGGGGGGGCATAAAGTTGCCCCCTCCCTTTACGTTTTGTGAAATATCTCCTAAACCTGATGAGCTACGAACGTGAAACTTGGCATAGCTTCAAATGAATACCTAGGCAATGTTTGAGGAAAGTTTGGTGGTTGTAGCACCTAAGATGACGTCACAGTGACGTCATAAAGTTTGGTCGTTCTCCGATATGGACCGTTTCTGATGACGCTGAGCATGAAACTCAACTGTAAATGAACTAGACAGCACCTGCTGTCATCCTAAAACAGCTAACTACACTTCCATCTAGTTTCTGACCAATAATCGACCCTTTATATTCGGTCCCATATATCTGATGTACCGTGAGGAATATGAGAGTCGCAAATCTATAATTTCACTTATGACGTCACTGTGACGTCATTTCAAATGGGATCGACACCAAATTTGGACACAACCTCGGCTAGGTATTCAGGAAGATGTGTGCAAAGTTTCGCTTCTCTATCTCTTCGCGTTGCGACGATATCGTTGCAGAAGTAAAGGGTGGGCAACTATATGCCCCCCCCCCCCCCCAGCGGCCGGCGGGTGGCGCGGAGGCCCAGGCGGCCGCCGGGTTAACCATTGAATCCTTATTAAACTCATGATTGAGATAGTAGGTACTCATCGTAAGATACTATTATCTTATCCATGTTAAAGTAAGGAGTAAGGACAATCCATTAGTTAATATTCCAACGGATTATTAATTACTAATTAATAATCCAATAATCCAACAGCGGCAATTCATTTACCTACTTGTACATCATTCGGTAGCTATAACTCGTCGATCACACGCAAGCCCATCCCGCGGTGGCAGCCTCACCTCGAAGCTGTCTTTGTCGGGCAGTTTGATGTTTCGTATGACTCGGATGGTCCGAATGACCCAGACGGTGATCTCCTCCACCTGCTGGGTGGGTCCGGCTGGGGAGGCGCCGGTCGCCGTCTGAAGGGAAACACGGGGATCGTCACAGCGCCGCGGGGTAGGCTTTGGCTCCATGTTCGGGCATTCGGCGGTCCACGGGCATGAATGCGAATTGCGAAGATATACAGGCACTGCGGCAACGATCCAATAACACACTCCAGAACGCACCGGATAATGCATTCAACTAGACAAGCTAGATAAGATGATACATTAAACGATAGCCGATGGGGAAGTGAAAGGCTATGAACACTGCCAATGCCAATTCAATCCTTCCTTTGATCTCCAGATTACAGCCTGAGCCCCTATCTCATCCCATATCATCCGCTACCGTCGAATCCCTAGGCCGGGACCGGTCGGCTCGGCCGTTTGCCGATTGTCATTCGGTCCCTGACTCCCTGTCGGCCGCCGGTGCCGGTGACACGGTAGCGGAATTCGTGTTTTTGTCGCGATCCGTGACCTGACATCCCTGTCATCCTCGTGTCGTGTGCCACCGTCTTTATCCAGGCCGGACACGTGGCCAGCAACAGACCGTGACAAGCTAACAATCGTACGGCTCGCTTTTCCCGGATTATGCAATAGGTATGTGGAAAAGTAGACGTCCTACTGTTGCACCAAATCATGACAGGAAACAATGGATAAGAATTTAGTGGAATCCAAATATCCAGAATGATCCTTTTCGATAACCATGTTCTTTTATTGGCGGAATTTACGGAACGACTAAGGGCCTTAGAACTATTCTATGGTAACGGCTATTTACCATTCCGATAACCCAAACAATAAATGGCACAAGGTCGTTCGTTCTTATGGCCTTGGTTCGTTCATCCTTTGTCATTGCACTTTGCAGAATGCAAGGACTTCAAAGCCTGTTTTATCTGATATCGTCTATTGTGGACTTAAATGTGCAAGGCATACCTGGCCATAAAACGGGGCCACGTAACATACCGACGGCATACCTGTTTATGATGCACGAAACACCTATTATGTCTAATATGCTTAGCGTACCACAGATATAATCGTGCCAGCTTAGCCCACAATCGGATCATCTGCCTGAATATACCGCCGTGATCCGGTTATGCACCGTCCTTCATCGAGGTCAATGGGTGTGCGAGCCCTCCCACATTCCCTCATCGCCTGGCCCTTCTAACATCAGTCCTAGCACGCCACAGTTCGCCCCACAGCACCAACTGACCCATGTCTCAGTGAGCTGGGAGCGGGGTACTTGTTCAGGAACCATGGGCCACGCGCCAGTCCACCCGCAGCCAACTGACCTGTCTGAGTGAGCTCGGAGCGGGGTACTTGTCCAGGAACTGGGCCACGCCACAGCTCGCCCACAGTACCAACTGACCTGTCTGAGTGAGCTCGGAGCGGGGAACTGGGCCACGCCACAGTTCACCCGCAGCCAACTGACCTGTCTGA